GGTAAGTCTGGTAATAAGAAAATACTGTGTGTTTCAAACAGATGAGAAAAGGAATTCTGAGTATTTCCATCATAAGCATATGAAAAATGAGGAATTAAACATAATTGTCATGATTTGAACATATGAACTGTATACATGTATAAAAACAATACATGGTACTGAGTAACCACACACCATCTGCTGCCAATTAAATTTAAAAATAACAAGTGGAAATTAATTAAAACAAAAGCATAGCTACTTTTAAATTAAAGTTATTCAAAAATGAACACTAGCTAAATTATAAAATTAAATGCAAATAACAGCATGAATTAGTCAATCTGAAGAAATATTAGCATTTTTAAGAAAGAAAAAAGAAAAAGTCTTTACTACTTAAGGGCTTTAACATATCAAAAAACAATGAAAGCAGTGAAGACATGAAATCACAATTGTGGGAAAGGGTTCTATATGAATAGGGAGAATGTGTGGATATGTATGTGAAGATAATCTGTGCAGGACTATCAGGATCAACAAGACAAACAAAGAAAGGAAGGAAAAGAATAGGAAGATTTTAAACTACATACATGGTAAAGTGTGCCTAAAAAGACAATGCCCCAAATCACTAACAAACAGCTTTTCCCAGAGGAGAGGACACATGTAGAGAGTGGGGAGATCTCAACTCCCCTTAGTGAAGCAGAAAAAGCTAATCACATGGAAAAAGTTGCTCTTGCAAGCATATTCTTCAAAGCTCCTTTCATATCCCTATTCCTCAGACTGTAGATAAAGGGATTCAGCATGGGTGTGACCATAGTGTACAACACAGCCACAATGACATCCTTGTCATTAGTGTTGTTAGATGAGGGGACAAAATATAGCCCAATAATGGCTCCATAGTACAGACAAACCACAGAGAGGTGAGAGCCACATGTGGACAAGGCTTTGCAGATTCCTTTGACGGAGGGAGTTCTCAGGATGGTGGCTCCAATGCGGCCGTAAGAGACCAGGATGCATATGAACGGCACAGTGATGACTAGTGATCCCACAATGAGGATGACCAGCTCATTGATGGAGGTGTCTGAGCTAGACAACTTAATTAAAGCAGAGAGATCACAGAAGAAGTGGTGGAGAGTGTTACCTCTAAAGAAAGAGAGATGAGCTAGGAGGACAGTGTGAACAAGGGCACCAGCAAAGGATAAGAACCAGGATGCGATGACTAGTAAGATACAGACACTCTGACTCATGATTCTGGTGTAGTGGAGAGGGTGGCAGATGGCCACATACCTGTCATAGGCCATAGAGGTCAGAAGAAAGCTGTCAAGATCTGCAAAAAATAGGAAAAAATACACTTGGGAAATGCACCCAGCATATGAGATGGACTGACTGTGTGTCAGCATATTCATGAGCATCTTTGGAGATGTGACTGATGAGAAAGAGATATCTGTGAAGGCCAAGTGGCTAAGGAAGAAGTACATGGGGGTGTGGAGGTGAGAGTCCAGCCTGATGAGCAGGATGATGAGCAGGTTCCCCAGTACTGTTATCAGATACAAGGCCAGGAACAGGGCAGAGTACATGCCTTGGTCCTCTGGCCGGATGGGGAGCCCCAGGAGGATGAACTCAGATGCACTACTCTGATTTCTTGTGCTCCTCATCTTCTACTGAAAATGAAAAAGACATGGAAATGTGAGAACAGGAAATATTATGATTAGGGCACAGTGAAAGCAATGTTTTTAATTAGTGTATTCACTTTACCTGAAATTCTCAAACTTTTGAACACTAATGGGAAGTTGGAGACTTAGAAATCAGTTCAACATGTTTTGAAGAACTTGAAAATATCATAACAATTATCAGATAAGAAACGATCAGCTTTGAGAAGTCTCAGAATCCCAAATAGAATTCTGAGATAGGGAATGAAGTGAAAGGTCAGATCAGCCATTAATTGATAGCAAAGCTAGTCAATAATTTATAATAGTTTGCTAGCCTCTTGACCCTCTTCACAGCTTTAGAGGCATATTGGCTAATGTTTTGTATCTGGGGCTGTATTGAAATTGAAAGAACTGAAAGGCAGCTATAAAGCTGCAATATATAATTTAGAGACCTAAAGGCACAGATCTATATCAATGACTTGAAATATCATATGACATGTCTTCTACACACCCTTCACACCTTCCCGATTCTAACATCTCCAGTGGTCTGACTCTCTTTCTAAAGAAGTCCTCATGGAATATGTATAAAAAGTCTCTGTCTCCTTCAAGTTTTCTTGTGTGTTCTCTCAATCAAAACCTCATTTTGCTTTTTCAGGTTTTGTAGGATAACAGTAAATATTTAATTGCACTAGCCACATCTGGACTCTGCCAAGAAATCACTTTTTCCCTGTCTAATGTATTCCAATAACCTCCATTTTCACTGGTCTTAATCCAGATTTATTTTGCTAATGACTCTTAAATGATATTCTTTGTTGCATTTCTATCATTTCATTTATTATTTTCCCCTCTTTACCATTTGAAAACAGAACTGTTCATGTGAACATTCACAAAATAATAGTAAATAAAACATACTAATCTGTCTATTAAAACATAGATCCACATTTCATAAATAAAATCAATCTAAATATCTTCATGTTTGAAAGCTCAATTTGAACTATTGACTCATAGGGGAAGGGGAATTAAAGTTTTTGTTACTATTCCAATTCTGCCACCTTTATCGAAATGATCTTTAAAATCTCTACATTTTCCAGGCCACTCTATAAATACTCTAGTGTGATTTTCCCCCAGGATTAATTATTCATTCAGTTTTATCATTGATCATTACATCTGTAAAAATCAGCTTTTCACAATTAGCAATATTATGGACATCGAGTTTCATTATTTTTGCAATTTCCAGTATTACAACAAAAATCATTATTAAATACCTTTTTACATAAGCATATATGACAATTCCCTGAAGTAGAATTAAGGGTCTATAAATTTGCATGATTTTGATAGACAGCTAAACACAGGAGGCTGCAGTTGGTGGGGAAGGCTATTCTCACATGTTCTGTGAATGAAATCATGATAGTTGAGTGTTTGGAGAGGGCAGGGCTTGGGCATTGGGGGAATAGAGGAGATTCAAGACCATGGTAAGTCTGGTAAAGTCTATGGATTATTATTGAAGAACAGAGATACATAAGGCTGTTTATGCTATAATAGAAAGTTTCAATTCTCCACTCAAAGTATTAGTATATGCAAGGAAAGTTTTGAGTAAAGAAGTACCTGAATGCTTTTAGTATTATACTATTTAGTCAGCAGAAATGGGGTTACAGCAAAACCAGGTATCAGAAGGAGCTGAACAGGAGGCTGTTGCCACAGTTGAGATACAATATATTCACTGCATATACCTGAGTTTGTCAGTGGAGATGCATACAGTTACAGAAATTTGGAATAAAATTTGGAAGAAACTTAGCATGACTTGATGGAGGTTAAAGACATACAAAGAAACTGTGCACACACACACCTCTTCTTCTCCTGAATTAGGCGCTATATGAGTTTGAGATGAATTGTTCTCCATGGGGCTACTGTGCTATCCTCTCCTCTCAAACTTTAGATAGACACTCTATTCATGATAAGTAACTACGAGAAATACGGTGTGCTGAGGAAGAGCCTAGAGAGAGTAGGACACAACGCACACACTCAAACACTCAATCACTGAGGGCAAATTCTCCCCCTGCTTTGGCATGGCTCCCTTAGATGATAAACACAGATACCTTCAACTTCAAGGCACGAGAAAATCCCTCCATTTCTCTCTAGGAGGCCTGGGAGACAGTGTAATAAGTATGATCTCTAAGGGACAAAAGGTTCCATGGTGGCAGTCAGAATCCTCATCAGCTCAGAACAAAACAAAGTTAGATATACCAATGAACATATGCCTGCAGCTCTTGAGAATTTGGCATGAATTCTACTTTTACAAAAGATAGAGAGGATCCCAGGGGATAACACTGCCATCATGAGTCTAAATTAAAGCCACGGTATAATTGCTGCTTTTCCATTGCCTCCTTGGGGAAACAACTACTTGTTGAAGAAGTAAAAGAGAGTTTGCTCAGCTTTTGAGGAATAAAGCTGATAGTAACAAGGAAGCCTGTAGTAACTTTGAGGGCCACAAAACTTTTAGCATCTTATTTATCTTGGGTGAAGCAAACTAAGAGGTGGCTGAGTGTGGTAACCAAGTTCAGAATCCCACGACACTGCAAAGGGACACAAGTACACTTATATCATCATTCTGAAGGGAAAGGTAAGGAGCTCATATCTCACCATCACTCAGAACATGAAGAACAGCCTGGTTCCAAAATCAGTGGGGTTGGTGTTACATGGATGCAGTTTTCACATGTCTAGAAGACTGCCACCAGTACAACTCTCCACTCAGTCCCCTACAAAATTCATTCCAAATCAATCCTTATATCCCCAGTTCATAACAACAGAAACATGGAAATCTAAGTTCAACAATGTGTGGTATTTTTATTCAAACAAAATGTTTTTATTCATTCTTTGAGAATTTCATAATCCACACAATATTTTGATTGCATTAGTGTCCTTGCCCCTTGCTCTGGCTCCTCTGCCCTAACTCTCCCAGATTCACTCCCATCCCTTCCAAATTTCTGTCCTCTGCTTTTATTATTTTTTTTTTATTATTTAAGACCTTTATTAACAGGTGCTTGCCATTTGTTGATTTTTTAAAAAAAAAAATCAAGTTGCAAACTTTTATTACAAATTAAAAATGAAGTTCTTAAAAATCTCAACTTGACCAGATATGAAACAATTTAAAAACCATTAAAGGTGTATTGAGAAAAACCTTTTAAAACACACACACACACACACACACACACACACACACACACACACACACACACATTTGTCATTACCAAAAAGAGACATCTTTAGGTAAAAATAATAAAAACCCCATGCTGCATAAATAATGCAGATAGTTCTAGTGTATCTGGTCAACGGGCAAAAAGCAAGCACTTAAGGTCTTCAGCTCCAATCTTTGTTGATTTCTTATTGCTGGAATTTCATATCATTTCTTCTTGTTGAATGACCAAACCGGATGATGGTAGAGATGATAAACAGGCATTTACTCAGCCCCGCCCTGCTCAGTCCTGGGAGCAGACGAATTCTCAGCTGGAGGATCGGCTGCTTTTGTCTCTGCCGTCTTGTGGTTTAGGGTCCTCCGGGCGTCTGTGTCGGTAATCGAAGTTGTGGCAGTACCAACGTTGAGGTGGGTGCTGACCTTGGGTCTCATCTCCTTGATTTTCCTTGTCTTCTTCATTGCCATCCTCTCTAGGCTGTCTTTGGCAAAGAGGGAACCTTGCGGAATCGTGGTCTGTAGCCCCGATACATATTCTATCTCACTGGTCTGCCTTGCCCTCCTGCACCCTGGTTGTCAGCACCCTCCATCACTTCTCCTTGCACAGGAGGGTTGGAATACTGTGGTCGACGCCCATAGGGTCTCAAGTAGTAAGGTGGGAACCTTCACCTGTGATAGGGCCAGTGTTGTTGGGCTTGGCCTTCAGGAGTGCTTTCTGATCCCTTGCTCTTTTCCCCACTCTCACTATTCTGGTAATTTTGCTGGTAATTGCGTGGAGGACCCTTACGACGTGGATAGCATCTATAATGGTTACGGTCTGTAGCTAGAGTTTTCCTGCCTTGCCCACAGTCAGGACAAATCTTTGTCACCAGCCAGTCCCACAGCCGCTCAGACCCAACCAAGTAAACACAGAGACTTATATTGCTTACAAACTGTATGGCCGTGGCAGGCTTCTTTCTAACTGTTCTTATAGCTTAAATTAATCCATTTCTATAATTCTATACCTTGCCATGTGGCTCATGGCTTACTGGCGTCTTCACATGCTGCTTGTCCTGGCAGCGGCTGTCAGTGACTCATGACTCAGCCTTCCTGTTCTCTCCTTTCTCCTCTCTGTTAGTCCCGCCTATACTCCCTGCCTAGCCACGGGCCAATCAGTGTTTTATTTATTAACCAATCAGAGCAACACATTTGCCATACAGAACATCCCACAGCAACGGTCTGCTGCGTATTTACTGCCTTGAACTGGAACTCCACCAGGTCCTGTACCATTTGCTGCCTCCGCACCCTTTTCTGCTTCAACAACATCAAACTCCGCAGTCTCTCCATCTCCTACACTGCAAAGGTACTTCCTGGGGTTATTCTTCTTTGTGGCAGTCTGGTGTACAAATACGTCTTCCTTGGTGTCATTGCTGTCGATGAAACCGTATTCGTTCCTTACATTGAACCATTTTACTGTTCCCAAAACCTTCGTTGTGATGACCTTCTTATCCCCGCCAGCAGGTGCCGCCGATGTGAGGCCACCCGGGCTGCCACTCCCTGCAGAGCCGGGCTTGGTGTCAGCAGTGCTGAGGGCAGGGACGGGGGCGGCGGGCGGCTGCTGGGTCTCCATCTCACTTCTCATGGTTGCGGCTCCTCCCAGTGTGTGATGGTGACTAGGCCGGCAGTGGTGAGGCTCTCAGGTCTCTGGAGTCCGCTCTCTGATCCTGCTACCAATCGAACTCTGCTTTTATTATTTTTATAACCCAGGTCAAGTTTATGTTGTCCACAAACTCCCAGGGTTGGCAACATCCACTGGAGCTTAGTGGAACAGCAGAAGCCACACCCTTAAAGAAAAGTTACTCACCCTCCCCCAGAAGCCATCAACTATCAATAGCTCCTCATGGGACTCATGACATAATAAATTTGGGGAAGCAATTACAGGCCATAACAATCATCTGTTGGGGGATGGTAATCATTGAAGAGAGACCTGTAACAATAAAGCAAAAAAATTTATGTATGTCTTGTTTTAATGGAATTTGTGTCCTGTACTGAAAGATATTTGTTGAATCCCTAAACTTTTCTGTTCTTTCATTTGTTTGGGTATGAAATGTCCCCACAAAGACTCATATTTAAGGCTAAGTCTTCCACTTGCTGATCCAATGATTAAGAGATAATTGCGTCTTAATGGCCCTGAGACAATTAGTGAATGAAATATTAACTTGAATAAACTTTAGAAAGTAAGAGAAAGTGTAGTTGGGACAAAATCAGAAGAATCGTGTTGTGGAATATTAGTTGAAGATATGTTACATTGTTTATGCTGGGGAACATTTATTTGATGATGCAAAGATCTGTTGCGTTCTTTTTGTTGCATTTGTTTAACTCTGTGAAGCTGTGTTACTTTGCCTGTCTAAAATACATGATTTGTCTAATAAAAAACTGAATGGCCAATAGCAAGGCAGGAGAAAGGTTAGGCAGGGCTGGCGTGCAAAGAGAATAAATGGAAGGAGAAAAAGGAGAAGATCTAGAAGCAAGAGAAGACGGAGGAGGACCTTGGGGAGCCATCCACTCAGCCACACAACAAGACCCAGAATAAAAGGTGAAGAAACATAAAAGCCCGGAGACTAGAGGTAGATGGAATAATTTTAGTTAAGAAAAGCTGGCTAGAAACAGGCCAAACTAAGGTCACCAGGCATTCATAAGTAATAATAAAACTCCATGTGATTTCTTTGGGAACTGGGTGGTGGGCTATCCAAAGAGAAAAGAACAAAAAAATATTGGTGCCCAATGTAGGACTTGAATATCCACCTTGGTAGAGCCCAAGAAATTGGGAGGGGGGAGATATGGCTCCTTTAAGAAACCCTGCCTTACAGCAGAGCACTTAAACAACCTTTTCCATGCTAAATAGAAACAAAAATCTAAGTTAAAAAAATGCCTGCCACAGTGCAAGGCACTGGCATTCCATAGCTAGGGGATCGAATGTAGTCTGGGTCAAACACACCTCCAACCAGGCTGTGAGCTTTAGGCTTGGCTTCCACTGACTGAGAAGTGGGTGCAGCCAGCTGTGAGAGCAGCACAGGGGACCTGCTGTAGCTTAGCAGTTAAAGGCTAAACGGTATGCAACCAACGTGGTCCAGATGGGAAAAAACTCTACAATGTGCGCAGGCTTAAGAAAGAAAGAATATGGGTATAAAAGGTCATAGGAAGAAATAAGTAGTTTAAAAATAATAAAAGAGAGAGTAAAAGTAATATAAAGAAAAAAGTCACATAAGATGGGAAATATATAAGAATTCTGGACCTTGTATGTTATTTATTGTGTGATTTTTTAAGTTTTTGCTGATAAGCAAAAGACAACTGCTAAGAGACATGGGATTGAAAGAGGGACTGATGAAATAAAAGAGCCTATATACTTTAGGAATGCCTTGACATTAAAATGGGAGTTAAAAATTTGTCAACTGGAATTTAAAGATGGTTTATATTTTTGGTTGTGAGCCTAGCCTTTAACGGCTAAGCTATCCCTCCAGCTCTAAAGATGGTTTAGAGAAGAGGTTTTGCTGGTATTTCCACAGGAAAGGAGAGGCTGTGGATTCCTTCTAGGTTAATATGGATCAAGTTTGATCAAGGGAGACCTCCTAAATGTTGACAGATGATATATATGAACAAAGGTTACCACTGGTCTTCCCAGGACTTGGCCATTATCTCAAATTTCTCAAATACACCTAAAGATGCCTTCACTGACAGACAACAGGAAGCAGTCTGGATAACATGAGTCCCACATTCCCAAGAGATGAGATGGGTGGTCTTTTGTTATTTGGTGGGCTATGGATGTTTGTTATCATTTAGGGGAATATAGAAATATAGGATAAAAAGAAAACTACTAATCTTGATATTTTGCATTGGCATGGATTTTGGTATATTAATATAAATTAAAATTATTATTCTTATACTGTATATATGTCTCTACTCTTGTTTGGAGTATTGTGTTTATGCAGCATGTTTAAAAATGCAATGTATAATTAAGAAATGAGCTTAGTAGTTAATCTAGAATGATCAAACTTGTAATCATATTAGATATGTTTTCAAGGTTAAACAGGTATATTTTGGAAATATTGATGATCTTCAAACACTTTAAAGACCTACATAATATGTAATTTTAAATGTTTTGTTAACATATGGCTTTTCATGACACTAAAATATCTGCTGGCAGCACTAGTTTACTTCATAAAAAGATGATGGTCATCAAAGAAACTCCATATGGAATTTGCTTTCAATGTGGCAAGGCTAGCCATTTAGGCAAGAAACTGCTTTGCCTTGACTGCTGACAGTTTGATATATAGGCTATATATGCAGGGTCCTCAAGAAAGTGACTGCTGAACTTTGCCAAAACAAGGCAGGACAGTCCTTCAAAATTTCTGCCTGTAGGCTGAAGATAGATGCCCCAATGCTGCAGAGGAATTTTGGATGAATGTTGTATATTTTGTTTGTGTTTTAACAAACAAAGCTTGCTTGAAGTTAGAGGACAAAACTAGACACTAGTTAACCATAGAGGTCTGGAGGTCTGTGCAGAGAGGAACAGGAAGTGATAAGGCAGGACAGAGGTGGGGTCTTGGCCCTTTTGAACTGGAAGAATGGAAGAGAAAGGAAGTGACTGTGGCTGCTCTCCTGCTTCTCTGATCGTTCAGATCTTATCCCAATATCTGATTCCTGGTTTTTATTGATAAGACTAATTAGATTTATGTTTCATCTGTCATCCAACTTTTGGGGCATGAATTCACACTAACAAAAAAAGCCACTTGCACATGCCAAAGCTACACATGGGAACTGTGTCTGATATAATCACCACACCACCAGCTGGCTTTTCCTTTCTTTCCCAAGCCCTCTGAGCAAGTCTAGAATTTTTCTGTTGCAGCCTCTCTACAGCAAATGCCACAAATGCTTGGGCTCCAAACGCCACCTGAGTCAGCCCCTCACCACCAGCCAGCTCTGCCTTCAGGCAGCTCTGTGCTTTCACTTCCTGCTGGTCACACATGCCTCTTTCACACATTCCCCCATGCAGATGGCTGACTCTTTGGCTCCTTTCCCCCCATAGGTTTTGGGTTTTCCCTGGACCCCCTCCTCAGGCTGCTGACATGCAATCAGGCACAGCTGTCCTCAGCCATACTGTGCACCACCTGTGTTCTCTGTTCAGATGTGCTACACAGCAGTAGTAAGCCTCACACTTTACCATCATCATAAGTATGGTGAGTCAGTTGGGAATTCTTAAAGTGGAGAATTAGTTTTAATGGACAGAGAGAGAGAGAGAGAGAGAGAGAGAGAGAGAGAGAGAGAGAGAGATTACCATGTTAAAAAAAAGGGGGAAATAGTATTACAATGGAAGGAGTTAGTTCTCTGTGGTTATACAATGGATGGTTTGAAAATAGAACAATTAAATAAGGGGATAATTGACTTAGTTGGGAGACATTAAATGATTATGACCCACAATTGGAATAATACCTCAAGAACTGAGTAATTTATTTCAAACTTTACAAGGTGATAAGGACTTAAATAGTTCAAGAAAATTATCAGCTAAGGCTAAGAAAGAATTGGCTCTGGTAGATAGGGAATGAGAAGATGCACATGTTTGGATCCATAGTTTTATTGCATTCTTGTTATTTTACCTTCTAAGCATCCCCCTACAAGAATTTTAATACAGAGAGAAAATAATATCTTAGAATGGATATTTTTTACCAGACAGAGTGAAAAATTAAAGACCTATGTAGAAAAGGTTTCTGAGTTGATTCTAAAAGGAAAATTGAGATTTCATCAATTAGTAGGAACAGACCCAGCAGAAATTGTAGTACCTTTTACTAATGCTGAAATTTCCTCTTTATGGCCAGAAAAATGAACATTGGCAAAGAGCTTGAAGTAATTTTTTAGGAGATATTAACAACAAATGTACCCAAAGCCATAGAATTCTGCTTATAAAGAGAACTAACTGGGTCCTTCCTCACATTGTACAGAGAACACAAATTTCTGGAGGCCCTACATTCTATACTCATGCAAAAAAATCAGAAAAGGCAGGTTATAACTCAGGAAATTTGAATAAAGTGCCTCAAAGCCCTTATAATTCTGTTCAAAAGTGAGGATTATATGCTATTCTCAGGGTATTATTAGATTTTTCTAAAATATCTTAATATACTTACTGACTCTCACTATGCAGAGTTGTTTTATGTACTGAAACTGCTGAATTTATTCCATATGATACAGACTTGATTTTGTTATTTATTCAGTTACAAGAAAAGATCAGAAATAGAAATCACCCCTTATATATAACACATATTAGATCCCATAAAGGTCATCCAGGCTGTCCAGTACAAGGTAATGATGAAATTGATCAACTATTGGTAGGAAATATGCTGGAAGCCTCAGAATTTCATAAAAAAAAAAAAAAACACCATGTCAATAGCAAGGGTTTGAAAAAGGATTTTTCCATCACTTGTCAACAAGCCAAGGAAATTAAAAGAAAATCTCTCACTTGTTTCTTGTATAACCAAACTCCAGTACCTGCAGGAAGTAACCCACAGGGTACTCAGAGAAATGAACTTTGGTAAATGGACATATTTAATTTTGCAGTTGGGGAAATTAAAATATGCACACCACACCATTGA